CTTGCAATAAAAGCACTCAGTCTCGGGCTTGGGTCCATTCTTTGGCTTCTTCCCGGCAGCTTGCTCGCCGGGCGCGGCAACTCCCTTGCCGTCCTTCTTAAAGTTCTTTTTACCCTTGCCCTTCTTGAACTTAGTGGTTTTATTGACCATCAACACTTGATGTTCCTTCTTGACTTCTACCTCTGCTGATTTCACCATAGCAAATACTTCAGGAATGGTCTTTTCCATCCCCTGCATATTGAAGTTCATCACAAAGCTCTTGTAGCTCGGTGGAAGCGACTGAAGGATCCTGTCAATGACCACGTCATCTTGGAGATTAACTCCCAGCTGAGTCAAGCGGTTATGTAACCCAGACATAGTGAGTATGTGCTCACTGACAGAACTATTTTCCTCCATCTTACAGCTGAAGAATTTGTCGGAGACTTCATATCTCTCGACCCGGGCATGAGCTTGAAAAACCATTTTCAGCTCTTCAAACATCTCATATGCTCCATGTCTCTCAAAACGCTTTTGGAGCCCCAGCTCTAAGCTGTAAAGCATGCCGCACTGAACGAGGGAGTAGTCATCGGTACGTGCCTGCCAAGCGTTCATAACGTCTTGTTCTACAGGGAGAACAGGTGCATCACCTAGCGGTACTTGTAGGACATAATCTTTCTTGGCAGCTATGAGGATGATCCTCAGGTTCCAGACCCAGTCCGTGTAGTTGCTGCCATCGTCTTTTAGCTTGGTTTTCTCTAGGAACGCATTGAAGTTGAGGACTACGTTGGCCATTTGATCTACAAGACATATTGTAAAGATTTTAGACTAAGTTCATGATAATTAAGTTCATCTAATCAAATTATAATGAACTCCCACTTAGATAGACATCCCTCTTCTAGTCATCTAAGTATAACATGATCTGAGTTAGCTAGGCCGTGTCCGATCATCACGTGAGACGGACTAGTCAACGTCGGTGAACATCTTCATGTTGATCGTATCTTCTATACGACTCATGCTCGATCTTTTGGTCTTCTGTGTTCCGAGGCCATGTCTATGCACATGCTAGGCTCGTCAAGTCAACCTAAGTGTATTGTGTGTGTAAATCTGTCTTACACCCGTTGTATGTGAACGTTAGAATCTATCACACCCGATCATCACGTGGTGCTTCGAAACAACGAACTGTCGCAACGGTGCACAGTTAGGGGGAACACTTTCTTGAAATTATTATGAGGGATCATCTTATTTACTACCATCGTTCTAAGCAAACAAGATGCAAAACATGATAAACATCACATGCAATCAAATAATAATAGTGACATGATATGGCCAATATCACATAGCTCCTTTGATCTCCATCTTGGGGCTCCATGATCATCTTGTCACCGGCATGACACCATGATGTCCATCATCATGATCTCCATCATTGTGTCTCCATGAAGTTGCTCGCCAACTATTACTTCTACTACTATGGCTAACACGTTTAGCAATAAAGTAAAGTAATTTACATGGCGTTTCTCAATGACACGCAAGTCATACAAAAATAAAGACAACTCCTATGGCTCCTGCCGGTTGTCATACACATCGACATGCAAGTCATGATTCCTATTACAATAGCATGAACATCTCATACATTACATATAGATCATTCAGCATTCATCACAACTTTGGCCATATCATATCATAAAGCACTTGCTGCAAAAACAAGTTAGACGTCCTCTAATTGTTGTTGCAAGTTTTACGTGGCTGAAGTAGGGTTCTAGCAAGAACGTTTTCTTACCTACGTGAAAGCCACAACGTGATTTGTCAACTTCTATTTACCCTTCATAAGGACCCTTTTCATCGAATCCGCTCCAACTAAAATAGGAGAGATAGACACCCGCCAGCCACCTTATGCAACTTGTGCATGTTAGTCGGTGGAACCGGTCTCACATAAGCGTACGTGTAAGGTTGGTCCGGGCCGCTTCATCCCACAATACCGTTGAAGCAAGATAAGACTAGTAGCGGCAAGAAAGTTGACAACATCTACGCCCACAACAAATTGTGTTGTACTCGCGCAAGAAGAACTACGCATAGACCTAGCTCATGATGCCACTGTTGGGGAACGTTGCAGAAAACAAAATTTTTCCTACGGTTTCACCAAGATCCATCTAGGAGTTCATCTAGCAACGAGTGATTAGATGCATCTACGTACCTTGTAGATCGCGAGCGGAAGCGTTCAAAGAACGAGGATGAGGTAGTCGTACACGACGTGATCCAAATCACCGGAGATCCTAGCACCGAACGGACGGCACCTCCGCGTTCAACACATGTACGGAACAGCCACGTCTCCTCCTTCTTGATCCAGCAAGGGGGAAGGAGAGGTTGAGGGAGATGGCTCCAGCAGCAGCACGACGGCGTGGTGATGATGGAGCTGCAGTACTCCGGCAAGGCTTCGTCAAGCACTATGGAGGAGGAGGAGGAGGAGGAGGAGTTGGAGAGGGAGAGGGAGGCACCAAAGGCATGGATGAAAAAGCCCTCCTTCCCCCACTATATATAGGAGGGCCTAGGGGGGGTGCCGGCCCTAGGATATCTAATCTCCTAGGGGGTTGCGGCCAAGGGGGAGGAATCCCTCCTCCCCAAGGCACCTAGGAGGTGCCTTCCCCTCCTAGGACTCTTCCTCCTTGAAACCCTAGGCGCATGGGCCTCTTGGGGCTGGTGCCCTTGGCCCATGTAGGCCAAGGCGCACCCCCTACAGCCCATGTGCCCCCCCGGGACAGGTGGCCCCACCCGGTGGACCCCCGGGACCCTTCCGGTGGTCCCGGTACAATACCGATGACCCCGAAACTTGTCCCGATGGCCGAAATAGGACTTCCCATATATAAATCTTTACCTCCGGACCATTCCGGAACTCCTCGTGACGTTCGGGATCTCATCCGGGACTCCGAACAACATTCGGGTTACTGCATATACATATCCCTACAACCCTAGCGTCACCGAACCTTAAGTGTGTAGACCCTACGGGTTCGGGAGACATGCAGACATGACCGAGATCGCTCTCCGGTCAATAACCAACAGCGGGATCTGGATACCCATGTTGGCTCCCACATGCTCCTCGATGATCTCATCGGATGAACCACGATGTCGAGGATTCAAGCAACCCCGTATACAATTCCCTTTGTCAATCGGTATGTTACTTGCCCGAGATCCGATCGTCGGTATCCCAATACCTCGTTCAATCTTGTTACCGGCAAGTCACTTTACTCGTACCGTGATGCATGATCCCGTGACCAAACACTTGGTCACTTTGAGCTCATTATGATGATGCATTACTGAGTGGGCCCAGTGATACCTCTCCGTCATACGGAGTGACAAATCCCAGTCTTGATCCATGTCAACCCAACAGACACTTTCGGAGATACCCGTAGTATACCTTTATAGTCACCCAGTTACGTTGTGACGTTTGGCACACCCAAAGCACTCCTACGGTATCCGGGAGTTACACGATCTCATGGTCTAAGGAAAAGATACTTGACATTGGAAAACTCTAGCAAACGAACTATACGATCTTGTGCTATGTTTAGGATTGGGTCTTGTCCATCACATCATTCTCCTAATGATGTGATCTCGTTATCAATGACATCCAATGTCCATAGTCAAGAAACCATGACTATCTGTTGATCAACGAGCTAGCCAACTAGAGGCTTACCAGGGACATGTTGGTGTCTATTATTCACACATGTATTACGATTTCCGGATAACACAATTATAGCATGAATAAAGACAATTATCATGAACAAGGAAATATAATAATAATGCTTTTATTATTGCCTCTAGGGCATATTTCCAACAGAAATATGTCAGACTCAAATCTCTGTCAAGTATGTAATGGAGCTGAAGATTCTTGGCACCATGCTCTGATTGATTGTACTATGTCCAAGTGTGTTTGGAGTCTGATTGATGAGGAAATGGTAGAGCATTTGATTGCATGCAATTCATCTGATGCATGACTCTGGATGGGGGATTTGATGGAGTCTATGCAAGCTGCAGATTTTATCAAAGTGCTTGTCACCTTGTGGGCGATCTGGTGGGCCCGTTGAAGGGCTATCCACGAGAGCGAGTTCCAATCACCTTTGAGCACTTTCAAATTCATTGAATAATTCATGGCAGACTTGGCCTTGATTCCGGGGCCATCGACAGTGTGTATGGGCGGCTCTACTTCGAGCATAGCACGTGGACAGATAAATAGGAGCTGGATTCCTCCATCGCAAGGTCATGTGAAGATTAATGTGGACACTGCTATCTCTAGGAACAATGATAGAGGCTCGTTTGCAGCAATCTGTCGTGATGAACATGGCATGTACTTGGGTTTCTCTGCAGTTGTTGTTCAAGGCCTTGTTCATCCCAAGATTCTTGAAGCGATGGCCTTTAATGAAGCATTGGCTCTTGCTGATGATCTATATGTGAAAAAGGTTCACATAGGAACTGGTTGTATGGCGACCATCAATAATCTGAATCAGATTTATATGGGCTCCAGCAGCACCATAGTTCATGATATAAAGCTGAAGATGAGAGAGCTGGAGGACGTTCGTATGGAGCACGAAAAGCGGGAGCACAACAGCGAGGCCCGTAACCTCGCAAAAGCCTCATGTTCTCTTGATTTGGGGCGCCATTTGTGGCTGACGGACACCCCCAGTTTATGTATGTACTCCCTCCGTTCTGAATTACTTGTCGCAGGTATGAATGTATCTAGATGTATTTTAGTTTTAGATATATTCATTTCTGCGACCAGTAATTTGAAACAGATGGAGTACCTCGTATGATTTCAGTTGATTAAAGTTCAGTTTTTACCCTAAAAAAAATACGGGTCGACGGCACAAACAGTTCCACCAACCCCGGAAACTTAACCCAATCCACTCACCCCAAAACGTGAACGTGGGTGAAACGGCCTCCCCTGCTGCTCCGCAAGAGGCAGCAACGACTTCCCCCACCACTCGCCGGCACCAGTTCCCCTCCCCATCCATCCGAACCCAGCGCCTCTCACCATGACTCAGGAAGACGCGCCGGCGCCCGTGAACTTCTGGGGCGAGCACCCGGCGACGGAGGCGGAGTACTACGCGGCCCAGGGCGCGGAGGGCGAGTCGTCCTACTTCACCACGCCGGACGACGCGGGCGCGCGCCGCCTCTTCACGCGCTCGTGGCGCCCGGTTGCTGGTGGGGGCGCCGGCGCGCGGCCGAGGGCGCTCGTGTTCATGGTCCACGGCTATGGCAACGACATCAGCTGGACGTTCCAGGCCACGGCCGTCTTCCTGGCCCGCTCCGGCTTCGCCTGCTTCGCCGCCGACCTCCCCGGCCACGGCCGCTCCCACGGCTTGCAGGCCTTCGTCCCGGATCTCGAGGTCGCCGTCGCCGACCTCCTCGCCTTCTTCCGGTCCGTCCGGCGGCGCGAGGAGCACGCCGGGCTGCCGTGCTTCCTGTTCGGGGAGTCAATGGGCGGGGCCATCTGCCTGCTGATCCACCTCCGCACGCCGCCGGGGGAGTGGGCGGGGGCCGTGCTGGTGGCGCCCATGTGCAAGATCTCCGACCGGATCCGGCCGCGCTGGCCGGTGCCGGAGATCCTCACCCTCGTGTCGCGGTTCGCGCCTACTCTCCCCATCGTGCCCACGGCCGACCTCATCGAGAAGTCCGTCAAGGTGCCCGCCAAGCGCCTGATCGCCGCGCGCAACCCCATGCGCTACAACGGCCGGCCCAGGCTCGGCACCGTCATGGAGCTGCTGCGCGCCACCGACGAGCTCGGCGCGCGCCTCGGCGAGGTCACCGTCCCGTTCCTCGTCGTGCACGGCAGCGCCGACGAGGTGACCGACCCCGCCGTCAGCCGCGCGTTGTACGAGGCCGCGGCCAGCGAGGACAAGACCATCAAGATGTACGACGGGATGCTCCACTCCATGCTCTTCGGCGAGCCGGAGGAGAACATCGAGCGCGTCCGGGACGACATCCTCGCCTGGCTCAGCGAGAGATGCACGCCGACAGCAACTTCCTGACAAACATAGAATAGAAAAGATCAAAAGAAACAGACAATGCATTCTATTCGGATTGTGCAATCACCAACACAGACACCGGAATTGTTTTCATGTGCAAATGTGCGACGATTATCTCTCTATATATACACATATATGTTTTGTCTTTGTTCAACTTTACATGATCTTGGTATACAAAATGGTTGTCTCCTGATCAATGAAAGAATGCTGCCAGTTTGCGGTGCGTCCGGTTGATTGTATCAGCTCTCTGCCGGAGCCAGCGTTGGATCTGCTGGAGCCGGCGTTGGATCAGCCGGGGCTGGCGCTGAAGCTGCTGCCGGCAGTACAAGGCGTTCCCTGCCCTGTATCAGCTTGGCCGAGCGAATCTTATCTCCAGCCTTAATCTGTGAAAGGACATCTCTTCCGTCTGTGGCATACCTGCAGATGTTTGTTTTCACACGGAAGTTCTTTCCTTTTAATCCACAGGAAGATATCAATTCTTTTTAGGGACCATAATATCTGATCATTTCTAGTACTATCTATTCATGGGAGTGTAATATTAAGTCGCGACTTACCCAAAAACTGAAAATTGTCCCTCCTCGAAAGATATTCCTCCTAAACCAGACTGCAAACAACAGAGAAATTATCACAAATCAAACTATTTACACAGTTGATGCTTCTACTCCTAGACAGTGCAATAACCCCGAAGCAGATGGTAGAGGAGATTGGGCATTCATAACTATTGCATTACTTGAGTGGCCTTGGTAGTGCCTGTATTTGCATAGATATTCCTAACTAGTACGTAGCATTCAAGAATTATATAACTTTTTATAATAAGTGTGACGATAGTTTGACTGAGGAACCCCCAGGGTTCTTATAGTCAATTAATGAACGATGTAATTCTTATTTGATTTAATAAAGCTAGCCATGATGGCCTTTTCCCTAAAAAAAAAAGAATTATATAACTTTTCATACATGGCACAAAGCAACCCTACGACAGCAAATATGGTTCACAAAAGGAGAAGAAACTTGGTGCATTCTTGAGTCACATATACTTATCCAGACCTTCCAAAATCATATACTTATCCAACCTAGTCAACAAAATGCAGAGCAAATATGTATTTGGGTGATTGCGCCTACTGATTTTTTATGTCAGTGGATAAACATGTAGCCTTACTCACATTTCTCTTATCATACAGATAGAAGAAGAACTGGGTTGGTGACGAGTATTCATCTGAATCCTCACTATGTGACATGGCAACAGAGCCGTATACAGACATTGGAAGGACTGGCAATTCTCCATCCTAAATTATATGAAGCCAAGGAAACAAGTCAAGATATAGAGAACATGATTGTTTCACTGTTGAAGTAGTGTGAATGAGTGACCTGAATACTTAGCGGGCTTCTGTATAGCGGTTCAAACTGTCCAGCAGGCATGACCTCCAATGGAAGAGTATACCCTTTCTTCCCAGTCTCACTGTCTACAATGATTGCCTGGCTCACAGATTTCAGTGTTGCACCATCATATGCCCCATCCAAAACCTGAAGCAAAATTTACTCTATTGAGATATCAAAGCAAGTATCCCTCCATCCACAAATATAAGATGTTCTAACATTTTTTCTGAATCTGATGTATATAGACACGTTTTAGTGTGTTTGTTCACTCATTTCAGTCCGTATGTAGTCCATATTGAAATATCCAAAACATCTTACATTTGTGAATGGAGGGAGTAGTTGTAAACAAAAAACTGGAACACAACAGCGTAGTGCATATGTCAGACTGAAGCTCTGGAAGATATTCCTTATACAAAGACAATCCTGTTTGCTTATTTTGCATTTGTAAATTTCACCAGAACTAGGCAGGAAATGATGAGATGGGGTCAGAGTAATGCTACCTTACCAGTTTCGCAATGTTTCCAGCAGTCAGTGGGGCAGAATATCCATCAACTACAACCTGCATGTAGTATACAAACCAACAACTGACACACAAATTTGATTTTCTAGGGGAATTCTGGGGAGGACAATACTAATGCAAGTCATGGCATGACAAAAGATAATAACTAAGGCTATCTGGACGTGCATTTTTAGAGCTCTTGAGCACATCGAATTTTATTTTTGAAATATTAAAAAAAATCTAATCTGTCATACAGATAATAGAATGAACTATGTACCCTCAAGTTCTCGTCAGACATTTGCTGATTGTTAGTCCAGATGAAAATAACAAGAATGGGAGTTAAAAAAACCATTATTAGCTGCTTTAAGTGTATTTTTCTCACAGCCTACAAGAGTGAAATAAAATTCACGCTGTTTTTTTGTGTGTCTGTGTG